GAGTATGAGCCATCCCTAACAATGGTATGGCTCTACCCCTACATGGGTATGACCATCCTCTACCATGGTATTGGCTTTCTCACCTAATCATGCGTATGGCTTCTCGCCCTACATGGTATGGCCATCCCAGGCTGCGGCCGCCAAACAGTAAAAATTTACACTCTTCTCCGTCCCTTTCTTCGTGTCCACGACGACCGTCTTGGCGGATCGCCGGACGTATGTGCGGATGCTCTTCTGCACCAGCGTCGGCCAGGCATGGGCTGCCACAGTAGTGAACAGTCGACATGATGTAGCTCCCTGCCTAGGCTGGCGCGTCGTCCTTAGCAGCAAGCAAGGGCCGGCGGAAGGGCTGACGCTTCGCGCTCACCTCGCCACGATGGGATGGCTTTACGTGCGCAGGTGCACGGACGGCGGGGGCAGGCTGGCGGGGGGCAGCTGGCGGCGGCGGCGTGCGTTGCTCGCCGTGCTGCCATGTCGTCGTGAGAACGTCGCGGACTGCGGCACGATCGACCACGCCGACCGATCAACTGCCTCATCGATGGATCAGCGTGAGTGCTCCCCGCCGTTGTCACCTTCCCCCTGCTGTCACATTTGGGCCCCTGCTGTCCTCTTCTCCTGCTTATCACATGCCCCTGCTTGTCCCCTCCCCTTGCTGTCACATGCCCCTGCCTGTCCCTCTGCCTGCTGTCACATTGCCCGCTGCTGTCCTCTCTCCCTTGCATATCACATGCCCATGCTGTCCCCTTCTCCCTTGCTGCTCACATGGCGCCCTAGCTGTCCCTTCCCTGCTATTCACATGACCCCTGCGTGTCCCCTCTCCCTGCCCTGTCACATAGCCCCTGCTGTCCCTGGCTCCCTGCTGTCACATTTGCCCCTGCTGTCCTCTCTCCCTGCTATCACATGCCCCTGACTGGTCCCCTCTTCCCTGCTGTCACATGCCCCTGCTGTCCCCATCTCTGACATCACACTGCCCATGCTGTTCCTCTCTCCCTGCTATCACATGCCCACTGCTGTCCATCTCTCCCTGCTATCACATGCCCCCTTGCATAGTCGCCCCTCTCCCTGCTACTCACAGTGCCCCTAGTGAATCACTGTTCTCCCCCTGTGTCACATGCCCCTGCTGTCACTCCCTCTGCCTGTTCAATCCACCATGCTGTCAACACATCCCCTGCTGTCACGTCCTTTTGCATAAACAACTGTTATCTACCAACATCGCTATGTAGCAATCAAGATTGAACCCGAGAAAAATGAACCTGTAAAAATGCGTAACTCCGAAGCCGTCTAGTAACGATACTGCAGAAGCGCCGAGTGATAGTACCATAGGACTATACCAGATCATACGCAGTAACTCATGGGGCGCGTTTGTCTGGCGACGGAATCCGTGGCTGATCGCAGATTCATACGATGATTTTGATCAATGACCCAAACAAACGCAAACTCACTTTCACCAGTTCACGCTTTCGCTGCTGACCTATCACGGGATGGGTCATAACAAAGAACAAACTGTGATTGGGCTGTGGCGCGGGCCTGCCATATTGAGATCCCGTTCGAAATTCACCTCGCTGCAGGGTACGGGTTTGGTGGAATGCGAGATTCAAGTGATCACGTGACAAACAAACAGTCAGAATCAACGAATCCATACGGAATCGCAGATTCAGTAGGATCTGACAACAAAAACGCGCCCATGGACTCGCACCTGATGATCGTGACTCACTGCTGCTGTTTCCTTTGTCGTTGCAGTTGCCCTTTGTGGCAGATACTGGACAGTAACAGAGGACGAGCTGTAGGAGCTCAGCTGCGAGAGGTGATGGCGGCGTGTGTGCGTCATCCAACGCGGACTTCACGACGTTCTACGAGACGAGCAGAACGACACAACGCTGCTGCACAGCCTCCCTCTTACCATGTTCACCGGTCGCAGTGTTGTTTCTCACGAGATTACCGCGATTTCAATGTTACCCAAAGGTTACCGCGGTCGGCACACAGACTAATCGGATACACAGACTTGCGACGAAACCACAAAAGTGTGTGCCCCGTAAAGCAATTGACATTTGGTGGCGGCCGTCCCAGCGAATGGAGGCGGTACAACTCAAAAATCTGGCTGTGGTGACACACATGGATGTGTAACGTTCTAACATTAAAACGTCTCTATCTTTAGATTATAATATTGTTGGACTGGGGTTTAATTATACTTCCTAGAATCTAGAATCACAGAACATACATGCCACAAATACACCACAATACATGCGTTAAATTGCCACACGCGTTATACTGCTGCTACAAGTCTGTAGTTTAATTTATTCCCTCAGTCTGTGACGCGCCGATTTTGCTGAGATGTTTGTTTTTTCTACAATACAGTAAAAATTAATAAGACGATATAATTTTCCATATTTTTACTCAAATACAATTAATCATCATTTTATGCTAGAAAGCTTAATCACAAGTGGCTGGAGCTTCAGCAATTTACGATTTCTGCTTGTTTCTAGGGTTCGGGATCGTGCCAGGAAGGGTTACTTACTTCTATCAGAGATGGACACTGCTCCTTTCTTTTAGCCCTCTTAAAATTTTCTGACTTGCCTTGATGTTTGTTAATAAGGTGGAAGGACGGCCGGGAAGAGAATTATGGAAAATAAGTAAATACAGGACAGTTTGAATTTTATATTAGCAAAATTATTTCAGCATGTGTTTGGTTTAGTTTTTAGATATTGCCTTATAAGCCAATAATGGATATACTTCAGTGCCCCAGTGCTCAGTGAATATTTCTCGACCGATATTTTTCGTTATATATATTATTCATGAAATCAAGCCTGAGTACTGTATAAGCGCCACCATGCAGTCACACGACGAGAAGCAGAGAAAGCAATGTATTTTACTAATTCCCATACTAATATAACGTTATATTTATTTAAATTAGTGTACAGCATATCACATTTTCAAAGCAGGCCAGTGGATTTTAACCCTTAGTCAGCTGGAACACATAAATGAGGATGCCTGCAAAATGATTCTCAGCAATATAGCAGATATTTGCATTGGCTGTCTTAACCATCAATGATCAGCTCTATCTTATGTTGCAGATTCACTCGAAGTTCTTATCGCTACATGATATGATCTACATGTGTCAATGTTGAATGTGGTTGTATTATTTACAAATTGCATATCGCTTTTACTGGTATTTTTCACAGAACGAAGGGCACCAGAACTTACACAGATCACGAACCAAGTAGTGTTTTCCCTAACTGTAATGTTAGCTTTGTGTTTGCGTGTGTGTGGATGTGTGCGTGCGTGCGTGCGTGCGTGCGTGCGTGTGTGAGTGTGTGTGTGCGTGCGTGTGACGCGCGCGTACGTGCACGTGCGCGTGGCGCGCGTGCGCGCGTGTTGTGTGTAACTATATAAAGAACATTCTACTCCCAAGTTCCCAGGTAAAAAATGTGCCCTTTCCGAGTGACTTGTATTTGTCTCTGTTCCCAATTCACGAGAAATGTATCTGGAACTTCGTGGGAGGGAACGATGCTGGGAGAGAAGCATATAGCAATTTCGGCTAACTAGTATATAATTTCTATGGAAAGGAATAGGCGACAAGACAAAGTGAGCATCAGAAAGAGGAGAATGGGAGCGGTGAACAAAGTGGAACGCAAGAGAAGACAAGAAAGAAGAGCTCGACATAGACACGATGAGTAAACTATAAAAAGCAACAGGAATAGCAGGGCCCAATAACATTATCAAATTTCTAGGATGTGGGGGGGGGGGATTTCGTAACGTTTAGGGCGACGGGTATAGTTTCCAATTCCACACAGTCAAGTGCATGGCATGGTTGGGCATAGCACGTGTGGGACAGATACTCGATGTTTTACACATATTTATCGTCCTATGTAGGTCTATTTATTATAGGCTTTCATTTTATTTCTCCAAGATTTTATGACGGTATTTTCCTTGCCCCCTCGGCGATTGAAAATAAGAGATCACCGTAAAGTCATCTGATATGAAGCTTACACGTTGTAGCACATACCGATTACCTGCGTTCCCAGTAAGGGTACGTTGTAGCACATACCGATTACCTGCGTTCCCAGTAAGGGTACGTAGTATAAATACCGTTGACGTTGTCATTATCCATACGCGGCTCTTTGTAATTTCTCGATCTGTATGCAGCATATTACAGTCGGTTATCCAATTATTGTTAGGTTCATTTTACACATCGGCTCTGTGTGCATGTTAGGCGGGGTGAAACAGACGTATCACGGCTACTTAACTAATACTTTGCAATTTGGAAAGACGCAAAACCTAACAAGTAGACTTGCCAGGTTGACTTGATGAATGATACCTTCATAGATATTCTTTGATAGCTCTTGAAATAGCACCAGCTTTGCTATATAAAAATTATGCGATGTATATTAGCTTGCCATCTAAACAATACAAGAATGCACGTGGAGCAGACCTAGATCAAGAGCTAATAATACATTATTAGCTACATTACTATTATACATTTTTACATACATTACTATAATGTTTTATTAGCTCTTGCCTATTTGTATAAACTACGACGAGCCAGTCGCGCTCAAACGAGGAAACTATATATGACAACTCAGTATCTTTCTCGTTTGATGATGCAAACAGCAGTCCCTCGAAGATATAACTCCTTTAACCCAAGGTTCTGCGTGTATCCCAGGAGCGGATCTAGCTTTCAGGAGGAGGGGGGATGGGGGAGTGGGGAGGTGTTGAAATTTAAGTAAAGGCATACCGAATGCACGCGGTGCTAGGGTACGTGGTCCATGGGCTTGCTAATTCCTCCCACCTAGAAAATTCAGGCAGCTGTGTAGTCACAGGGGAAATCCCCAGTTTCTATCCGCCTGCAGACTGACTTTTTTTATTTTTGGCCTATTTTACTAGTATCAGGAGTAAGATAATATAGATCTATATAATATATAATATATTATCTTATATATATTATCTATTATATCTGTTTGTCAGACGTCGCTGTCCTTACTATAGTCTCTGACTGCATGCAGGGTCTTCGTCTCGATGCCTCATGCACCTGCGAGGCATGATACTGAGCGAGTACGCCGAACAACTCAGGAATCCGATGATCACGAACGATGAAGCAAAGAAGCACGTGTAAGTTGTTCTGCCTATCTCGCCCGTGTTCGCTAATGCGTGTGTTGAAGGGAGAGGTGGATAGGGGATGGTGACTATAGACAAGACTGATACGACTGTATTCATTCGCTTATGTTGTTAGAGGAGTTTACATGGTAACTGCATTCACCAGAGCCATCTACTACATGCTATAGTTATATCTGCTCATCACTTGGTTTGAAAATTTTACTTGTATTACCTGAAACAGGTACGCTATACGGCCTAAATATCTGAAGCTGTCCTCATCAGACTAGGATTATTAATGGACGTATCTTGTTTTGTGAGAACACACGAGTGGGTAGTGCGCTTTATGATGCGAACATTGCTTCCCAATGTCTGACACCTACTGTTTTGTGAGAACACACGAGTACTCTCCCTGCTATCACATGCCCCTGCTGTCACCTCCCCCTGCTGTCACATGCCCCTGCTGTCACCTCCCTCTGCTGTCATCCACCATGCTGTCACCTCCCCCTGCTGTCACGTCTTTCTGCATAAACAAACATGTTATCTACAACATGCTTGTAGCAATCATAGATATGAACCCGAGAAAAATGAACCTGTAAAAATGCGTAATCGAGCCGTCAAGTAACGCATACTCAGAAGCGCAGTGATAGTACCATAGACTATACCAGTCATACCAGTACTCATGGGGCGCGTTTGTCTGGGACGAATCCGTCTGATCGAGATCATGTGATCCTGATCTGACCAAACAAACGCAAACTCACTTTCACCGGTTCACGTTTCGCTGTGACCTATCACGGGATGGTTCATAACAAAGAACAAACTGTGATTGGCTGTGGCGCGGGCCCGCCATATTGGATCCCGTTCGAATTCACCTCGCTAGCAGGGTCGGGTTTGGTGGATCGAGATCAAGTGATCCGACCAAACAAACAGTCAGATCAACGAATCCATCGGATCGAGATTCGTGGATCTGACCAAACAAACGCGCCCATGGACTCACCTGATGATCGTGACTCACCTGTGCTGTTCCTTTGTCGTTGCAGTGCCCTCTTGTGGCAGATACTGGACAGTAACAGAGACAGTGAGGAGCTGAGTGCGGAGGTGATGGCGGCGTGTCGTGTCATCAACGCCGGACTCACGACGTTCTACGAGACCGAGCAGAAACGACACAAGCTGCTGCATCACCTCCTCACCACCGGTCAGTGTGTTTCCACGGTTACCGCGATCAATGTTACCAAGGTTACCGCGATCGGCACACAGACTAACGGACACACAGACTGGACGAAACACCAAAATGGTGTAATGCAATTGAATGGTGGCGCCGCCCAGCGAATGGAGCGGTACACTAAAAATCTGGCTGTGGTGACACACCATGGATGTGTAACGTTGTAACATTAAAACGTCTCTATCGAGGGGGGGGAGGATTGCAACCCCCCTCTATATCCGCCCACTGCATCCAGGGGCGTAAATCCGTACCGAGGAGTGGGGGGATGATCGGCGATAGCCGGGGGCGAAATTAACCTTTGCTGCCGCAGGCAGGCCCGCGTGCCGTAGGCATGCCAGTAATAGGGGGGTCTGGGGGCATGCTCCCCCAGAAAATTCCCATTTTCCTGCAATCTGAGGCATACTGTAGGCCATATTCTCATGTCTGATGACACTATTTCAACCCTAGATTCAACCCTACAAGTTAAGATTCAAAACACTTTTCATGACTTTTCAGAGAGCGTACACAGTTAGGTTACTAGTAATAATACATGTATTAAAACACAGGTAAGAATTGCAATTTCTCACAATTTCACGTGTTTTTGTATGTTTGCAACCATACTTTTTGACTATTCTTTTTTTTCTTTCTTTTTTTTTGAATTTCAGGGGAGATATTTGTACAGGCCATTCCCCCTCCTTCAAGAGCAGGGGGATGCATTCCCCCATCTCCCCCCCCCCGGATTTACGCCCCTGACTGCATCCCATCACACCATGCAGTCACTTAATTGAGAATGTTATGTTTTGGCAACCTTAACTGGGATTTACGATGTTTTCCTGTAGTTTTAGCCCCCTAGTCAATTTGACTACGGAAAAGTAGAATGGCGATTATAGATAGTGAAACGATGGGGAAAAAGATAGGAGAAATGAGAGAAGAAAGAAGAAGAAGAAGCAAGAAACTGGAAATGAGATCGATTGAGGAGAGGGAGGAGGATGAGCAGGGAAAGGATAAAGAAACACTAAAATTTAAATAAAACGAGAAAAACTAAAAGTAGGGGAGATGTTTGTTCTCATTAATAGCGCAATTCTTTTCTTTCTTTCATTTATACCCCCTCTTCCACCTGTTTCTTAATTTTATGCCATGCCACTGATTGCCACGCGTATCCCTATATATATGCGTACGCGCGTAGGCCCTATTCGTATTCTCCACCGATCGTTCTTTTTCAGAACTATGTTTAATTAAATGTCATACAGCATATAGCATAGCCATCTCATATTTCCGCTTTCTTTTTAAACTTATAACCTTTAATAAATCCAGAAACCGTTTTATTCATTAACTTATAAAATTTATCATGGTCATTAGAAGATTGGTATTTCCGCATGTATGATGAACCTCATTCGTATTAGGCCTATAGTTGATCATATGAGTCTGATCACTAGCTGCTTTCGCCATGTGCGGTTTCCGAGAATTTTTTCAAGCTTGGCTTTTTTTAATTGTCATTTCACATTAGAATTATTTTCCTTCTTCTAATCTTTCTACTGCAATCCACAGAATCGATCTATCGATTAGATCACCTCGACTTTCTCCTTTATCGGTATAGTCTCTTTGACTTTACCTTGAAGAATAACCTTTGCAATATGTTACCTCGCAATTAAACGACGAAACGTCTAAATATTTATTTACCCCCACGACCACAAGCACTTATGGGGATCTCAATAAAGAAAAATAATGCTAAATAAACACGAAATGTATTTACTATAGGCCCTACATACCAAAGTCTTTCTCTACTCTCTTTCGCCTATTATTGCCGGTAATTTCCTGTAAATGCCGTTCAAATGCTCTTCTGCAACAGACACGTGCACCGCACGCACGCCGTTGCACGTTTACACTTATACATATATACATTTCGTGTTTATTTAGCATTATTTTTCTTTATTGAGACGCTCCAAATTTAAATGCAGTGTCCACAACTGCTGCCCACTGTCTTATTTTGCATTTAAATGCAAAACTTGCATGATTGATCTAAAAGTATACTTTAAAAATAATTTTAGCGATGATAGGTGTAATAGATCATGTAATAAGGATATGAAAGAAGATATGGAACATTTATATAATTGTGATAGTTATGAAAAATATAAAGAGGGACAACAAATAGATAACTGGAGAAGGGACAGCCAGAGTTAGATTATGTACGGAAAATTCTGGCGATTCGTGACACTAACATTTAGAGAATTAGAGGCGACGTTTATCCCTTGGGTTTCTAGATAATCCCCACACTCGTTGATTCGGATGCCTTGTGGAATACATTTAGAGAGGGTACTAAGATACAAGATACAAGATACAAGCGCGATAACTTATAAACTTCGCCAAGAGGTGGCATTAGCTTATGTGACGTCACCAGCCCACTTTCGCCACGACGAGAAAATTAGGTGAGGCAGTTGGAAGCGGGTTTATGAATATTATCGTTTTTAGCGTGGCGTATTGTTGGCACTAAAACACAGCTTTATCGTTGTTTATTCTATTAATTTAGATATATACTCTTTGGGGAGTGTTATCTGTTCGAGATCGTTGGTTGACTTTGTTATGACTTGTTGTTTTCCGCCCAGGCAGCCGCCATGTTGTTCCGACCTAAGTCGATTGCAATGCTTGAGTTAGAAATGACTAGGCCCCTAGTATTAATAATACTAAGCTGTAATATAGACGATAGGTGATATTGCAATACAAACACTAAAACCTAAAAGTGGGCGAAATACACGAGGTCCAGAAGTAAGCTTAAAATGCTTCACGTTACGTTGATCTAACACACGTAATGTCTAATGACCCTCAATCCTTGCGTTACCGGTTACGTCAGGTCGGTGGGTAGGTCTTCCACGTTTACATATATGATATATCGGATACCGTATACCTGCGAACACCTAGCATTAGCACTAGGGCAGCGGCAGAATTTCTTAGAGATGCCTCGGTGGCCCAGTGGTTAGGCCACGTATATTGTCCACCTCTCACTCCAAAGGCTGTGTGTTCAAACCCCGACCGGTGCAATGAATTTTCTCAAGGTGTAAAAACCTGGCTCTCAACATTGGAGACTGTGAATCTCCCGTGGCTTGGATGACCACGTAAAATGGCGGTCCCTGCGTTATTATTCACATAACCGTGGGCTACGCAAAAAAATATCCAGATCCAGCAGTGTATTAGTTCAGTGCAGTGAAAAAAATACACGGGGGCTCGGGGCGATTTAGCCCCCGAAATGCCAAAAAGAGCCCCCGTAAATTTGCATAGAGTTCAATGCAAACCACATAGAGACCACATTTTAGAGTGCTATTTTCATGCACGCGAGCTTGAAAAGTAGCCTCCGAAAAATTAATTTTAATTTTTTCCTTGGTTCAGTGATAGGGGTTACGGTCACTTACAGGGTATATACGTAGCCGAGTCGTCAATTAATTATTGCGCTGAAACCCTAAACGCTGAGCTTCATGGTCGCTAATTAAGCAGTTGATTAAACTAGATGCAGACGTTAAATGTGGTGTGGTAAATTGGTTGGCGTGTCCGTTTCAGAAGCTCATCATCGTACAGTTAACATTTGGTACACTGAAGTCGGTTCAATCCTCATCTAATAATATTGGTCTGTGTTCTCTTCAGGTGTACAAAATGCCGACACCTATTCGGCTACGTGATCTGATCCGTCAAATTCGTGCGGCTCGCACAGCCGCCGATGAGCGTTCAGTCGTACAGAAGGAATGTGCGTATATACGAACTACCTTCAGGGAGGAGGACAACACCTTTCGATGTCGAAACGTGGCAAAACTATTGTATATACACATGCTGGGCTACCCTGCACATTTTGGGCAGGTAAGTGCTTACAGTTCTGTATTGCATGTGTAACAGATCTGATTCTTTGTTATATTCGTTGATACTTGATAGTGCGTGTATAATTATTTGTTGTTTACCACATGCCCATGGTTGAATATCATTCTACTTATTCTTCTACTTCTATATTGGACAGTCTGTAAGGAATAAACGTCCAGGGCTATAGCTAGCCATGGGGTGTGACCTAGCTTGGGTAAAAAGCCAGGTAGTTAGCCTTTTTAGCCGAATGGCACTGAGGGTGGTCACAGCCAGAGTTTAAATTCTTAACATTGAACTGTTTATTTTGGCATATATGTTTAAATTGGAAAAATATTAGGTATGAATAATTTTAATGAAATTTCAGATAAGACTGAATTGCAACTATGTCAATTTGTATCAATTGAATAAGAAAACCAACAACAATAACAAAAAACAACTACAGCAATAAAATTATTGTTAGTCTTTCATGCACTCATTTTCTAGGCAGATGTGCCACTGAAGTTGTTTAAAGCTGAATATCCTCGATATAAGGGAGTCATAAATGTTTGTAAACGCTACCATTTCTTCATTAATAACTACCAACTAAAATATCACTTGCAATGCCATCTTTAGCAAATTACATCACAATAAATTAATTTTAAGGACTATGGTGAGCACTACCTTTTTAACCATGCATTATACGAGTTGGAAACAACAATATCATCAACGACAACAGGATTGGAACTATTAGTGTCTTTCCTTGCTATCATTCAATTAATCATTCGATCTTTCATTCAATTGTACATACACCATAACCTGCTTAGTTTTATTTAATCCTATAATGTATATCAAGAGTAGATAATAACATGTGTTATTATCTACTCTTGTGTGTATATATATCCTGCAACCTACTGACTGTTTCATTCAATCGTACATACACCACAACCTACATACAGTTTCATTCGATCCTACATGCACCACAACCTAGTCACCTATTCAATCATTTCTACATATATACTGCAACCTACTCACTGTTTCATTCAGTGGTAGATACAGCACAACCTACTTACAGTTTTATTTAATCCTATATATGCTGCAACCTACTCACTGTTTCATTCAATCCTACATACACCGCAACGTAGTCGCAGTTTCATTTAATCCTACATGTACTGCAACCTACTCACGGTTTTAACTAGTTTTAGAAGTTAACATTTTAATGTGAAGCAGGTGCACAGAGAAAATAGCACTTGTGACTAAGTCACTTACTAGGCACATGCACTGACTGCATTAATGAGATAACGAGAAAGGCACAGCTGAAGTAAGTGTGAATGTGCCATACTGTATGAGAAGTGTTCTTTTGAATTTCTGTCATTCATTAACATGTATTACTATATATAAGACACGCTAGCTAACTTTCATCAAAATTAATCTGATAATATGTATTAACATCAAATGGACTGTTGTTAGTGTTCCTATTTATCTTTCATGAATGGTCAAGTTATTATTCTTGCCATTCTAATTTCTATTATGAAATTTTAAGTTCAAGTAATGCAAAACTTCTGAAAAAGGCACTTGCTTTTTGTTCTAGAAACACAAAACTGATGTTTAATTTTACATATTTTCTGTAGTACAAACTATTACCTAAATTTGGTTAGCTCTCATGTAAATTACAGAAAATACAAGATTGCACATATAATTGGATGTAGTTCGATTGATTGCATTGTTGGTAGCTAGATTAGTGCTGTCTAGCAATTGTATAGGTAGCAGCTACTGCTCTTTCATATACGGTTAGTTATGCATTGGATATTATATTAATCAAGAAGTAATTGTATCGTCGGCGGGGATACTATGGTTTCATGTCTCCCCAGCCGCCGCTGCCGCCGCTCGGTCCGCCACAGAGAATTTCCCTTCCGCTCTATAACTTGACCCCTAATTGACCTAGCGTGACCAAACTTGGTATACTTACACATCTTGGGAAGAAGGTGTGCAGAGTACCAAAACCAGGTCACTGCGACCTTTATTTGACCTTTACCTTGACCTTGATTATATTTCCCTTCCGCTCTCTAACTCGGCCCCTAATTGACCTAGCGTGACCAAACTTGGTATACTTACACATCTTGCGAAGAAGGTGTGCAGAGTACCAAAACCAGGTCACTGCAACCTTTATTTGACCTTTACCTTGACCTTGATCGTATTTCGCTTCCGCTCTTTAAAGGCTCACAATGCGCATCCAA